AAAAAAAAAAAAAAAAAGATCTGCACTGATTAACACGGGCCTCAGTACCACACATGCCAGAGACTCTTAAGGGACAGTTCCTCACATCTTCCATTACCAACAAATATTACCAAGCTGCCAGAGGACCATTTCAATGAGAATGTTCTAGCATATAAAATACTGTGGTTCTGGGGCTGTCTTACCATTTAAAGACACTGCAGTTCCCCAAACAAAATATAACATTCAAACACTTACAGCAAATGTGTTGAATAAAGTAAGTACTTCCCAAGATGCCTTGTGCTGTTACCTAAGCTAGCACCATTGTTGTCAGATAGTGGTAAACCCGTTAATTCCAGTTGTGCTACATCCCAGGCTTAACTATCTAACCTGCTACTACTGCCTTCTTCTGTGCCTCCTCCCCACCTCCCTTGTGGAATTTGGAGAATGTTTCATGTTAGGTTATTGTTCCATGTTAGGCTTCTGCTCAGGATGACCACCTTGTGATTATAGGACTATTTCTTGTGACACTGGTGCAGCTTGCAACTGTTTTCTTTTCAGCTCTAGACATACATGGCATCATTTTCATGAAATGACAGCATGTGACACCTCAAACTATATTGAAGTTTTTTGTTTCACTTTGGTTCTTCACTCCTCTGAATGCTCACATTGACTCTGATATCAAGTTCTAAAAGTTCAGGCATTTTTATTTGCTGTTGAACAACATTTTAGTAGACGATAACCCATGTTTTATTGGTGCTGATCTGTAACTAACATTCCTATATATGGAACACTCTGGTGCTGCAGACTTTAATGGGGGCTTTATTATTTTAATAACTCCTTTCACCTACCTGTTGGGTTGAACCCTTAAGGGAACTAGCAGATACATGTTTCACAAAGTGTTTAAACTATTATCCACTAAACTGTGCCTCATTTTCAGACACTGTACATTTTATCATGTATAGTGAAAATACCTATAATATGCAAAACAATACAGGCGTTTTTCCTAATATCCAATCCATCCTACTGTGTTGCACTATCAAGCCACTTCTGTGTCCCACCCTCTGCAGGGAGTGTCAAAAGTTTTCTCTTTTCATTATGGCAGCTCTACAGATATTTGCAGACTGCTATCATGTCCCCCCTTAACTTCCTTTTCTGTAAACAAAACATGCTTATAGGCAACCCCTGCTTAGTGCTCTGAATTAGTTCCTGAAAAACTGAGCATTAAGCGAAATGCGCCTTAAGTGAAACGGAAAGTATTTGATGACCCATGATGGTGATCGCAAGTGTTTTAATGACCCAAGATGGCAATCACAAGCATTATAATGAAACTTGCTGAGCACTATCAAATTAAAATGAGCGTTATAGCAAAAGAATGCTAAGAGAAAAAAGTGTTAAGCACGGGTTACCTGTATTTAATTCAACCTCTCCTGCTATGGCTTGCCTTCTAAACCCTGTATCATTTTTGCTGCCCATCTTTGGTCTTTCTCTACCTTTTCCACATTCTTTTTAAAATTCTGAGCCCAGAACTGCTCACAGTACTCTAAAGGATGCCTAACCAGTGCCAAATAGCACTGCACAAGCACTTCCTGGGTGCATCTACACATGCTATTTGCATGAAGCAATAAACTCCAGCACGTCACACCACACTTTACTGTACTTGCACACTGCATTTACACATGTGCCCAGGATTGCAGCATGTTGAGCCAGGTCAGAGCAACTCTGGGAGGAAGGGGGCCTAGGGAATCATCAGCCTGTCACCCCAGGGCTACTCCAAACCAGCTCAATGAGCTGTGGAGGGGGCTGGCTGAGGGTGCTCTAGTGTGGAGCTAGCTGGCAGGTAGCCCTGACAATGGAGCATCCTTGTGCCCCAGCCAGCCCCATCAGCATCTACATGTGTGCTGCTGCACACAAAAGAACTCCACTATAGCACAGTACTTATATTTACAAGTACTAAACTACAACGGAGTTAATTAGTTACCTGTAGCCTAATAGGGCCACACTTGTAGACGTTGAAACTTTACAGCAGAGCTAATTAGGCAGCTCCTAATTAGCAGTAAACATCTTGTGTAGATATCCCCCTCCCCCCAGGCCTTACACCTGATATGCTTGTTGGTGCAATTGAAAACTGCATTTACTTTTTCTGCAGCTGCATCACACTGCTGACTCATATTGAGTCTGCAGTTCAGCAAAACCCCCAAGATCCTTCTCAGCAGTGTTGCCACTGCAACAGTTATCAGCCATTCTATATTTATGCTTTTGATTATTTTCTCCTAGATATAACACCTCACATTTGTTTGCATTGAAGTTTATCTTGTTGTCTATAACCCAGATTTCAAATCTATCAAGGCTGGAATGACTGGATAGATTGGAGGTATGTTCTACAATCAGTCAGATGAGATTCAATGAGGACAAGTGAAAAGTCCTGCACTTGGGAAGGAATAATTGCATGCACAATACAGAGGGAATGCCTGGTTAGGCTGCAGTGCCGAAGAGAAGGACTTGAGGATTACAATGGACTATACATTGAATATGACCCAAGTATGCTCTCATTGCAAAAAAAAAAAAAAAAAAAAATAAAGGCCACATCATCCTGTTGTTTGCAAATCAAGAGAAGTGATTCTTTCACTCTA